CCCCCTTCCCTTTCACGTAACACACTGGTAACAACACTCTTCACCCAGCTATGCAGCCAGTCTTCAATACACCTCACGATCCGCTCATCCAGCCCATACCTCTCTACAAAGATCTTACAGGAGACAATGCTGAAATCTGTCAAGCTTGGCTTCCTCTTGGTGACTACCATGCTGACTACTGCTGGTCACTTTATCCTTCATGTGTCTGGAAATGGTCTCCAGGGTCACCTGCTTCATTGCTTTCCCAGGGAGCAAGGTGAAGTTGACCAGTTTGTAGTTCCCTGGGTCCTCTTACTGAAGACAGGAGTGACATTTGCTCTCCTCTAGTCTTTGTGCACTTCTTCCAAACACAATCAAGATTATCTACAGTGGCCTTGCAATGACATCTATCAGTTCCCTCAATACTTGTGGGTGTATCCCATCCAGGACTACGAATTCATGTACTTCTGCTTTGCTTAAATATTCCCTAACCCAAACCTCTTCTACTAAGGATATGACCCTCCTTGCTCTGGACTTTTTCTGGGGTCTCAAGTACTCAGGATTCCTGAAGGCCTGCAAAGACTGAAGCCCACATTTTTGCTAGTCTTCCTTTTGTCACCTACGTACTAAGAGAAGCTCCTTTTTGTTTTTGACATCCCGTGCCAGATTTAACTCCAGCTGGGCTTTAGCTCTCCTCATCTCATCCTTGCACACTAACACAGTGCCTCTGTACCCCTCCCAGCAACATACCTACCAAGTGCTGCCCTGAGACAGGCAAGAGAGCAGCCACACGAGTGAGGCAGCTAACAGCCTCTACTGTGCCTTCCAGTCCACATCTGCGTGCACAGTTTATATCAGGACAGCAAGTGAACAGATTTAGTTAACAACTGCACAAAGTATAAGTCATTCTTCAGATTAATTCTCTTTTCAGAGACACACATGTACTTGGGCTAGAGTCACTTTGCAGGTGGAAGACACAGAAAAACGAACAAGGCAGAGAGAGAGGTTCCAACTATTTGAGCCAACACCACCACTGAAAAGTTACTTGACACACTGTCTGTGAGATGCAGCTAGTCACACAACAAAATACCTCAATATAACAAAACACCTTTTTTTTTTAGAAAAGGTGAAACCTTGATGCATGAACACCAAGCTGTACATGGCTCAGGCTTTTCAAATAGACGTGGACATGTAGTTCTACAGGTTGTTAGGAAATAACTATTCAGTTCTGTGGTGTAGAAAAGCACACATATACAAGTTTCAGAAATTCTGTTGTGAACACTAAGCTAGATACGTATCTGTTTCTTAAATTGCAAAAATTGTCTTATGACACGTCAAAACTTTACAAAAAATAACCTCAGCAGACTGAAGATTTATACCCCCAAGTATTTTTTTTTTTTGGTAAAATGCTTGAGTTCATGCAAACATAAAAAATAATTTTACATCTTGAATTAAAATACTAACAAATTGCTTACTGTTGGAATTGCAGTTGTGCAGCTAACTCTTCGAAGCCGCCTCTGCATCAGATCATGCTCCATACCATTGACTTCAGCTTTTAGGCGTTCAAGCTCTTCTTTCTCCAGCTTCAGTTCCTTTGCTAATCTCTCCATCCTTGCCCGTTGATGTAACAGCAAGGCTAAGGTTTTACATGGAAAAAGTAGTTACAACATAGGAAAATCCGGGAAAAATGAATTCTTAACTTATGCATAAGATTCATGAGTGACCTTTCTGGAAAGAAAAAGTGATCATAAACATGCAGCCAAATATCAGTGTGAAGATGCTTTCATGCCAAATGAACTACAATTTAGAACAAAGTTCTTTCAGAATAAAAACACATTTGAGACAGTAACTTGAAGTTGATATTACCATTTTGGCCAAAGCTTCTTTTTTTGCATTTGGTCTTTCTCATCTCAAAAATACAAAGGCACCTGTACAAGGAGACAGCTTCTCAGGATGAAACAGCAACCTACTTATAGTAATACTGTACTGACAAAAAAAAAAAAATAAAATTGCCAGAGGTAAGATCAGAAGGTAACACACACTTCCTATCTGCTGCTCAACAGCAGCTGACACAACAACCTCCAGACATTAGCCCTGAATTTTCTTTTCTGATATTACAGATTATGCTATAACAACTTTAAGTAGTCTTAGCTCTTCAGAGAGTATTGTAATTCTCTATAGCGTTAAGTTCCCCAGTGCTCAAAGACAAAACTACAGAACTTCAATAAAACCAATTAGAACATCCAGAATACAAAAAGTGGGGGCAGCTCAGGTGCTTCAGAGTCTTTATTCCAAAATAGAGCTGATTCACTGTCCTCTAACCTCTTTCCTGTTAATCATTCTCTCATATTTCTGTCATGGTACTGAAACTTATGGCTCTCAGTCACAAGCTGATGTGGGGCTCCCAGAGCAGCCAAAGAAGGAATCCTGACTAGCTAGAGAGGAGTACTTGCTTTCTGCAGGAAGCACATCTCTCAGTATTTCATCACAATACCAAACAGGCCAGGTTAATCAGTGCGATGCTTCGTGCTTCCTGATCTGGCTGTTCTGACCTGATTAGAGTCTACTAGGACTGAGAAGAACAAGAGAAATCTGCTGTGGGTATCCACACAAGCACGCTGCTCACGCAACAATGTTCCAACAACGCATTCACATGCACAAAGACAACGTAGAATCTGCAAAATGCTGTTTCATACAAAGCACCAGCCAGCATCTGCCTTTTCCTTCACCTCTATCCAATGCAGGCAAAGAAAAATCCCACAGTATCTCTAGAATATTTGCATACTAGCTAAAAAAAAGGTCAGAAAAATAAGCAACAGTATGACAAGCTTCCTGGAAGAGGACATAAAACCAAAACCACACCAGTCAGGAGCATAAAGATAACAGTGTTTTTTTATCAGATGTCACTATTCTGTGAAAAAATTAGCACTATACTTTGGATTTTGTATGGACCCACCAATTCACAGGTAAACAATAAATACTGAAAATCCTATGCAAGAATAACATCAGATATTTTTATAATACAGGCACTAGTGTTACTGAACTAGAGTACTACTGAACTAGAGTACTACTGAACTAGAGTACTACTGAACTGTTCTTTGTTTTCTGAAGTAGTTTAACTCATCCAAGTATAGTTTAAGAGATCACTTTTCTTTTAAAGTAGATACTAGGCTGTATGATTTTCCATTATTAGTATCAAAACTTGTTTTTATATGACTCCTTCAACTTAACATCCGATATGACTACATTACATAGCTTTACATTATACTCTAGTACAACTCATCAAATATGACTCACACTACAAAGAAACAGTGGAAGTACAGACACTATAATGGATTTTTGGTAACACTTCACAATGGTTCGTATTCAAAAGAAAATTATGTAGGCTCGTTCCCTATATTCATGTGTTAAATATACTCTTCTGTAGGACTCCTTTGGGATACTACCAAATATACTGTTTATTCTTCTACAATTTATTTTTATCAAGAGTTCAGAGTTCAGTAATGCCAAAGGCTATAATGAAGTCCCAGCTGTGGTAGGTATTGCCACAAAAAAAGATGCCCCAAAAAGCACATACTAGCTAGCTTCATTCGGTTTGTTTTCCAAATACACAAATCTTACTAGTCAAAGATACAAAGATTTCTACATTTCGGAACACGTTTTTCTCAGTTATGTGAAAGCTACTTACAGTTTTCTTGAGTAACTGACAATGTTAAATGGCGCTGCAATAGCAACACGAGCACACAAAGCACGTTGCCTATGAGTTACAGACCTACTAGTGCTCATCCTAAGTAACATTTCTAATTGGGTATACCAGGTACAGCATAGCTCTTTGTTGATGCACTAGAATCCATCAAAAGACACAAAGCAAAATAAGAAAACAAGAACGAACTACAGAGCAGCATTATAACCATTACTTCAGCTTTCTGAAGAGAAAGGAAGGCTGGAAGGAGCAATGAAGGAACAGCCTCTTTTCCAAATGCAAACCCAGAAACAAAGCACATTCTTTAAACAATTGCTGCTGATCTTCATTCCATCATTACCCCAAATGACTGGTTTGAACACTTGCAGACTGATTCATTTGTTCTATTTTAAAAGTTTCAAATCTATGAAGCAGATTACTCTCAGAACAGCAATTTTCCTCTAAAGATTAGATTTCACCATTTAGCAAAAATCCCACAAAAATAATTACTTAATTCTTAATTTACATGTGGCAATAAAACTACATTCTAGCCCTATGCAGCAGAATGTACATTGTCTGCCAATCTCTTTCCTCTCTTTGAAGACTGTGAAGGAAGTAAACTTTTGATTAAGTTCTTTAAAATAATTATTTTAATACCTTTCAAAATAAAAATATGATTTGACACCTGAAGTAATTTTAGCTATAATCCCACCTCACTCTCCTCTTTCACTTAATACACTTCAATGTAAACAGAAAACCTGGTGTTCCAATTCCCCACTGAAGTAGTGCTTCAGCTTTTATGAAGTACCCAAGTACAGAAAAAATACAAAAAATATTAAAATGTACATGCAAATTTATGACAGTTCTTCAACACAGGGTTTACAAAGCAGATGCAGTATATAAGCAAATTGCTTACTCTTGTTAGCTGCAATTCTTTTTTTTTTTTTTTTTTCCAGAAATTCAGCTAACATCAGAAGCATTGCAACTTTAAGAACCTCAGAATTTCTTTATGGCTTAGATCGAAATTTGGCACTTAAAAAATAAAAGCAGAACAATCTCTCTCACTAGATGATTTTTGGTGAAATTTGTTATTCTTTGTACAAGTTCAAAAATTCTCACTTAGCAAGCAGCAACATCAAGGCAAAAATGCCTTTTGCAGTAATACAATTTGCAGGGTGAAACATTTACCTTGAGTGTAAGCATAGTCGTCTGATCCAGAACTAGAACTTCTCTGATACTTATGGCTTCCTTTTTCTCCTCCAGATCCTGGGATTACAGAAATAGGCTGAATAGGTTCTGGTGCTGCAGAACGCTCTTCTTGGTCCACTAAATTTAAAAGATTCTCAGTCGGTGCTCGACCTACTGTGATTTTAAAAATGGTTGGGTTTGGCTGAGATACCATTACCCGCGGAGACTGCGTTGGTGCACCTGTAGGTCCAGTTGGTTGAGTGTAGGTAATATACACTGGATTAACACTAAATGGAGGTTTGGGTTGACCCGACATACCTCTTGATGGAGAGCTTGAAGGAGGAGTAGTGGTGGTATACAGCGGGTGCTGGTTTCGTTGAGATGGTTGATTACTTATTGGTGAAGGACTTCTGTTCATTGCAGTCCCAGGTCTTTGTGGTGGCTCAACTGTAATTTCTATTTTATTCATGGAACCTTTGGATAAACTAGGTCCAGCAAAAGGAGGAAGATACGACACAGAGTGGCCGCCTTGTTTTTGAAAAGTCTGGGATGCTTGCTGATATGGATGGGGTGGGACAGTTGAAGGACTAGGAGGCATGAAAACATGTGAACTCTGATGACTCAACTGAGGAGGCTGAACCTGGTGCTGAGGAGAGCCAAAGGGAGAGGGACACTGGGATGCCGGTGGTGATCGAAAAGCTGACTGAGGGATCTGGGGTTGTTTAGGAGAATACTGAGAAGGTTGGTAGTTCTGTTGATGGGGATACAAAGGTAGAGGACGGGGAGTATAATGTGGAACTGGGCCCTGTGGCGACGAATGCCACTGTGTATTCTGAGGAGTCTGTCGTCCTGAAGAACTTTGAGATGTTTGTCTTATATAAATAGACCCGGGAGTCCCATAAAGATTGCTTGGAATCTGTGGAAGAATTTGTAGAGCTCTGGGTACACTCTGTCCAGAGGGGAGGTTTTGTGATACTGTAACAGTAATGGGATTTGTACTGTACCGAGGTATGTGCATATACGTGGGAGGAGGGCCTTGCATAGCAGACGTGTTCATTCCCGGTTGTATGGAAGATGGCTGTGGAGGTGGCTGTGGAGGAGGAGTAGCTGCATTTCTATTCTGGTCATTCATGAAAAATGGATTGTAACTAGGAGAAGCTGCCACGACAGCGGGAGCAGAATGTGGTTCTTGAACTAAGCATATCAGCTGTTTACCTGCTGTGCGCTGTGGATCAATGTGTCCATCGCTTGAACTGTGTACCAGTGTACGACCACCATTAAGTTGAGCTCCATCCCCTGCGTGATAGCTGGTATGAGGATGAATACCCAGATTAATGTGCAAAAGGCTATTTCTATTCATTCTGGTGTCATCGGGGCTATGGTACTCCATGTATAAGTATTTGTTGCTCTCCTGTGCAAGGGCTCGACAACAGGCATCCAGGTTGTTGTTGTTCTACGAGTAAGAATGGACACTTATTATCATCAAATATCAGAAGAAAAAGACACTGCTCAACATCCAACAAGCATTCAACCAAAGCTGCAGTCAAGCCTAGCCTGAACGCAGTCAGGGATGATGTTTCACAGACACAGATTTTGGAACGAAGGCTATACCTGCTAAGTCAGAGTATGCAAGGCGTACGCAGCTCACGCTGCAGCTAGCAAAACGCTACAGTAACGCTAAAAAAATCTGCTCCAGTTTTGGGGAAAGCCATGGTTAGAACTCTTAGCATCTTCTGCAAAGAATGACTGCGTGTGTACAATTAACTACGATCAACATAAATCAAATCAAACTAGGTCAAAATTACAAATGCTGGAAAGTCAAAAAAAAATGCAGATGACATTTAACGTTTACCTGAGTGTTTACTATTTTCACCTTTACTTTACTGTTTATCTGATTATTGCACTTTACCTGGAAGTTTAAAAGCCAAACATTTTAAACCAGCTTCTCTTTGTAGAAAAGAATTTGGCGCATTAACAATTAAGTCAGAATAAGTATTGCTTGAAAAAGTACTGGCAATTCCACAAAGCATTTGCCAATTCTGACATTATTTCAATTGCTTTTAAGAATTCTGGGCTCAAGGAAAACAAAAAAAGTTTATTCACACATCAGCAAGGAAAACAAATAACCCCTGTAAATGTTTGATTTGTTCTGTGGTTCCAACAGCTGAAACTACACAGACAATTAATTATGAATCAAACCTTAAGTATAATGGGGAATTCCCTTTCCCTTTTCTTCTCCACTCTTTTTAGCTTAATCTAGTCTTCTTAAAAGAATGACATAAAAAATAGCTCTTTCAGAAAAGTAAAATCCCTAGAAGGGATTCCTGATTGTGGATTTTTCTTTTTTCTCCACAGTTTCTCACACGACAGCCTGTATCACGTATGGTTCAATTTTTAATTTAAACAGTAGTTTTTAAAAAAAATTCACTTTACGTTCAGCTACCTCTGGCCTCAGCACCTTAACTTTGTTCTGTGTGACCCAAGGCCAGTAGCTCCTGTAACATAGAGCAACACCTGCCAGAAGTAGCATGCCCATACTTACATATGAGTGCACACACTCCCACCTTCTGTAGGGTGTTAAAATTATCAGTCAAAGGAATATACATCAATAATGGTTTCACTTCTATTCAAAACACTATCACTACATAAATTTTGTATACATATTAATACTCACATGGCCTTGCAATACAATTTTCAACAGCCTATTCATTTGTTGAAAAGTCACAGGCACGTTTCTAAAGTACTGATATACCTTGTTAGTCTCAGTACTGAAGTGAAGATGACTTTCCCAAAATTTCAGATGATTTTACTGTCAGATGAACACACCCAGTCCACATCTTCTCAGACAAAGACTTAGAATTGAACATGACAGAAAACAGAACAGTCTAGCACTTAGTTACGTGTCTCTCGCTCCACAGATACTCCTCCCCAACTACTTTCCCCGCATGCCAAACTCGCCTTCTAGACCTCAGTGGTCAATGGGAATAACCAGAAATATCACAGCAAAATTTAAGACCAGAACATGTGGCTAACAGACCTTGTAATAATAACCAGTACTACAGTGCCAAGGCAGCAGTCTCAAAAGAGTTCACCACTACCATCAGCCACTTGTCATCTAAACAGGACTTCACGGAGTCCTCATCTTCCTGAGGTCACTTCATCAGGGTGGAGGCAGAGAGAATGTAGATACAACACGCCAAAAATTATTTCCTCAGGGTATGGAACCTATTTGCCATTTCAAAGGACCCTCAGTTTTTGATGGGTCCAAAATTCACACTGGTGAGCATGTATTGCAAAAGCTTAATGGAAACCAGCTCACGTATCCTAAATATAAATTGAGTTTGGAAACAAACTCTATATTTAAAAAAATGTCATATATTTATTCTAGATTTAGAAGACCATGCGCTTCTGCAGCATTAGGGGTTCTTTAATTTTATTAAAAATATCTGTGTCTTAAACACAGTTTATCAAAAGGAGCACGTACTTAACAGTACAGAAGAGGTGAGTGCCAGGACAGGCAAAGCTGCACACTGCAGGGCTTCACTCTCTTTGCATTGTCTGAGGGCAACAAGTTTGTATTTGTATGGTTTAGAAGAGCCACAAGGCAAATATCACCGCTGCTCATAAGGAAAGCTGCTCTTCTGCCAGGGACAAGCTGGATGCAAATCCAGCTTCACTACTTTCATATGCAGCAGGTTATCACATTAGGTTCTACCTTAGCCACAGCCACACAAGGCCAAGCCAGATCTTATACATTTCTATTCCACATTCCTGTGTCCTCCCACTAATAGAAGGTATTCCAGATGACTACAATTTTGAAAAATTATTCTCTGTGGTCACTTCTTATCACTTCTACTTTGTGATTTTTAGATGAAGGCAGAAGGAAGAAATGGAAAAATACCACACAAACAAAACCCAACCTGAAGAACTGACACCTGACTTGGAAGAGAAGTAAAAAATAAAACCTTGGACAGCTGTTGCAAAAAGATGCCCAGAAGACAGAAACCCTACATTCCCAGCTAAAGCCAGTTCCTTATCTTGGAAGAGTAAGTCATTGTTTGCTAGAACCTCCTCCAGCATACATATGCTTATGTAGTCATCATCGATAATCATCCCATTAGCTATTTTCCTCATTCCCTGTATGCATACAGTCACAGACAAGTAAGAACAGTCAGCTGAAAAACCTCCACAAACAGAAGTAAAGAGTGGTAAAATCTTTGTACATAAAAGACAGGACAAAAGTAGTGGAGTCTTCTACCCTTTTCAAAATAAAACTAAAGGAATGAAAATCTATGCTCCGTAAAAAGTTTTCATGATACAAAAAATAAAATATGCAGACTCTTAAAAACTCTTTACCATACCTGAAGCATGCACTGAGATACCACTCCTTCAGGTATCTCAGGGAAGCGTTGTCGGAGATCATGGAGTACCTGCATGTCGAGCTGCTGACTGCCCTGCGCCATGCCAGATTGATGATGTTCCAGATTACCAAAAAACGGAAGTCAACAGGCCTTCCAATGATTATGGTCTTCTGAGGCTTCTGGCATTTTCTGTAAGAAAGAAAACACCATCCATTATCTTTTAAGCCATCAAAACAACTTTTCCTCCTTCCCCAGATGAATATGTAAAAGAATCATTATACTGTCTTTTCAGATCTAGCTACCAAGACAGACAATGGTTTAAGCAGAGAGGTAGGAATCACCAGGTCTCAAATCCTAAATTAAAACACGTAACACATCACAGGTATGTCTACATGACATGTCATTGAGACATGCTACTTTAGGTCTTTACACAGTCCTGTTGTGCTACCGGGTAGGTATCAACTTACATTAATCTGACCTGCATAAAATGGATCTGTTACATATTTACTCCCAGTGAAATTCTGAACAGTTTGTAGAAAAGTCCAAAGCTACCACAAAGCATGCATATTTTTGTTATTTACAACATGCTAGAAATAAGAGACTGGAAAACTGAGTAGCACAATTATCCAAAACCACTACTCTAGTAATAGGGCTTAAACTCTTTCCTCTTTACATCACTACAAATTCAAGAAGTTAAAGGCAATTTTTGTGAAACACGAGTTAAACAGAATTCAAAGAGTCCATTTTAGGCTTATGATAAGCATCTATTTGCAGTTTTTGTCAAGCACCTCTTACACTCATGCTAACATTTTTAGTGACAAAAGCCCCTCCTTCCACTTCAGGATTCTTGTATTTCAGAGTGAAAAGATTCTGTCTAAACTTCAATACCCAAGAACTCTTAAAAGGCAAATACAGTCTGAGTCAACAAATGCTCTTCTTGCTTCTGGCTCACCATCACAGCAGTAATCAAAAGGCAGCTGAAGTCTAGTAAAGATTCACACAGGCTTTGCATAAAGGTGGTGCATGACGTGACCCCTGTAACAAATCTATTATTGCTAAGCTTCAAAAGCCTTTCCATCACTACTGCTCAGGTGAATTCTTAACTGCAGAGAACATAGTGCTGCTTTCAAAAACAAGAAATGTAAATCGGATATCAGCAGAGTTGGTGTTCAAGTAATTTATTAGCTACTCAAAGTCCCAAGTTTAAATCATGCTTATCTCAACCCTGGTGCAATTGTGGGTGGCACATAGTATAGGTATTCAAGTCAGCTTCTCACTTGCAAGCTCTACCAGCAGCCAACCAGAGCACAACAGATCCGCTTGCCTTTATGTGCCAAAAACTTCAACAGTAGCTTTCCCAAGTAAAGTCTCTTAGCTTTCACAGGCAAGAAAATAGAACACATCTTCAAGGTAATATAAAATGTCCAATTTAAGGTAAAAAAAAAGCTTTGGTGGTTTGGGGATTTTTAAAAATTATTATTTTGAATATTTAATAACTGTGCCTTTCTTTTTTCATCTCTCTCTCAACAGTACTTCCTTTCTCTGAAAAGGGGCAAACCAATGACACAAAACCAGAAGTCAAGCCCGCTCTGCTATCCGGCCGTTTCGTATGTGGTCAGCTCTTAATGAATGACACTAGCATCCATTAAATAACACATATGTTTACAGGAAGGGCTGTTCTCTGTCATCTCTGATACATCCTACTATCCAGCATTACATCTGTCACATCACACTCTTTATCCAGATAAATGAGACAAGTCTGAAGAACAGCAAGATACATGAATTATCCTGCTGTGATTTAAGAAATACTGCAATAAATGTACACTGTATGATCACAATGCAGCTCTGTCAGCTGCAGTAATGCTGCAGACTCCATTTATTTTAAAAGGAAACAAGTTTTCACTGACTACAAAAGTCATCTGAAACTTCGTATCTACTCTCCCAGTAGGGGATCTTTGATAAAACTTATTTTTATAATTCACAAACATCATACTCTGAAGGACAGACCACCACAAGAATCCTCAAGGAAAACCTGACAGCAATCAAGCTCTATGTGTTTCTAGACAACTCGCCTTTTCCCAGGAGGTAGGGATAAAGTGCAGTTAATAGTAACCAGAATAAATTGCAGTTAAACCCCTTGTGGAATATCAATGACAGTACCTGAAAATCTGAAATAAAAGATAGTAAGTTTAAGAATTTAATTTGCATAATAAAAAGCCTTTGCATCACTTCCTCTTCAAATGCAAACTCAAACGTAATATGGGTGAGCAGACTGGAGAGCCATCAACACCACTTTATAAAAATCTAAATAATTTCTTTGATGGTTTTCTAAGACTTCCCAAATATGCATGGTGACTAGAGGTGTTTACCACAGGGTTCTCTTCTAAATACTAGTAATGGATAACACAAACTTCTATTCTCATTTTGAAGAGCTGAAGCTTCTAGCCTTTAGAGTAACAGACAGCCTTGAAACCTGAAATAATTGTCATGAGAAGCATGAACATACAATCATTCAGAACTCCTTGGCTTCCATTGCTACGTTACACGGCTACAGTACTGTGGAAATTTGTTATTTTTCAGCCAGTACCACAAAATTCACTACTGCCATATCTAGGAGCCCTGCATGTTCTTCTGCCTGTTCTTCTTGACTTGCCTACAACCAACTGCACATTTTCCACTCTGAGCAGGCACAGACTGGCTGGAATACAACACTTACTTCCCATGGTGCTCCACAGCACCAGGCAGGTGGAGAAGCAAATTGCTGAGAGAGCAAAGGGCTTACAGCACAGACTACAGAGCTAAGATGCTTAGACAACAAGAACTCCTGCTGAGCCACAAGAGACCAGGAAAGCAATCCTTCAAAGCTTCTTTCTTTCACAGCACGCAGAAGCTGAGGGACGTGTGGAGGTGCACTATACTACAAGCCTTAAAATTATTGACAGTTCACAGAGCTGAACACATTGAAAAACAACCCAGAGTCACAATGAAAGCCAGATGCTTCATCTGTGCCTTTCAAAAGTTAAGGTTACCCAAACCTTAGCTGAAAAGTATTTCACAAGGATGGAATTCACATTACCACATACATGGCAGTTCTAATGGCAAAACCAAAAGGTATTGTTGCAAAATTGGTCCCGCTGTGTTAACACACAGAGGTGACCTTGGCAGCCACTAGTGAATCTTGTGGATTATGCAAAGCATGACTCAAGTCCTAAAGAAGTACACTAATCAGTTTTTCACACCTTTTGCATGCTCAAATTATATATATAGGAAAACAGTATTTCAAATTTAATCGTCTTTCCTTAAGCCATTCGTGTACCTTGCAAGTTAAGAAAATGGTAACAGTTCCATCAATCAACTGATGCCTCTTTTCTGAAAGAAAAAGTGGAATTACTAGTGTCTTGATACTCTCTCCACAGATGTGTTCAAATATATAGAGAAGGAAATCTATTTCACCGTTTATTTCTGAAGTACTGCATCACCTAAAATAAAGGTACATGAATCATCAATAATGAGATCCAATTGAAAAATAAATTAGGTCAATACATACTATCTGTAAGCTTATAAATTATGTATCGATGTGTGCTTACGCAATAACAGCGTATACAGCAACTAAAATAATTCCTGAATGAACTTCCAGAAGAGAAAACTTTTTCTCAGACCTCATCAATTTAAAGTTAATTGTTAAGAGTTTTACAAAAACAGTTGGGCTTTGAAGGCTAAGAGGAAAAATCACAGGACAAAACACAATAAAACACAAACCAATTTATGAAAGCAACACCACAAAGGCATCCTGCTTCTGTATTTTTTATATAAACTCTTTCATCTTAAAAGACTAGTTACATACTAGATGACAAGAGTATGAAAAAGCACAAATGTATTTAAGTGCAGCAGCCAGGTAAAGAACCTCTGAATACTACAGAAATACAGTTTTTAAATTTCATTATCCTGACTTCTAATCAAATGCATGCTGATGCCTACAGACAGAAAGTGGATTTATTGAAAGGCATTCACATTAATTCAACCCAATATTTGTAAATATTTTTTTTTCTTCCTTGTTCACCTTTGTTTGGATCAAAGCATGGAAGATAAAATTTTGGCCTCTAGATTCATAAATGCAGCAGAATTTTTTTTACTTAAGCACTCATAAGACAATGCCTTCTAACACTTGCACTGGACTGACAGGCTTTTGGCCAAAAGGTAGAAAAGGATTCAGGGAAAGCTGGCAAAGCTGGATGCTCTATTCTGTCCAAACATCTCAGGAACTGGAGTATGAAGATACCATGAAATTTAGGTGGACAAAACAGTAAAACAGTATCAACTTCTTAATGATGGAATCTTCAGAAGAGAAAGAACAAAATTAATATGAACACAAATCAGTAAGCTGAAAGAAACATATATAACATCTTCACTGAGCAAAAGTGACTTTGACTTCAGAGACACAAACTCATTTGTGGTAAACATGAAGTAGCAAATCCAATAAACAGTTACACAATCCAAACTCATGACAGTAATTCCTAATTGTTATCTACTTATATATCATTTGCCAATACCAACAACTCACTCCTGTTTATACTAGCTACTGGTATCCAAACATAAAACTTCTGAACCAGTTATCTGCGATACCGGTGCTACTGAGAACTTCATTCCCTTTCTGAGCCAAACCGAAGAGCAACAACAGTCTGAATACCCTCCCTGAACAGAAACTTTCCTTATTCCTCTGGTAGTGAATAGGGGGAGGAACTGTGAAGAATGAGGACAGGAACTGTAGAAGCAGAAAAAGATGAAAATCTAAAATTCAGTTTCATTAGTCTAGATCAGTTCAGAATCTTACTTTCACCAAAAATGGCCAGGTAAGTAAAAATGAGATCAAGTCCAAAAGAAAAATACTATATTTTTTACATGGAAGAACAATAATAAAAGCTTACTACTATTGACATTTCTAAAACATGCCATTTTGTTTTCAAAGCCATGCTAGACTAACTGGCAGCACAGCACGAGTTCCAAATCCGAGTGACAACTAAAATCTTTTTTTTTCTAAATTTATTTATTAAATGGAAAGAAGTTATGAGTGCACCTTATGAATCATATTCCTTCTTGAGGTAATTTCAATTCAGGAGACGTTTCTCTCAGTTTGGTCATGTCAGCTACAGTTCTTGAAATTATTTTTCAGTTTTGTAATCACATTCTTC